CAGAATTCCTCTTCCAGTCATGTTAGCTCAGGAATTCTGGGGGTTTGAAGTCCACAGGTCTTAAACTTGCCAAGTTTGAAAACCCTTGGTTTAAGGGATGGTGTGCCAGGGGCCTTGAGAAACTGCAAATCCCAGAATTCCTAGGAAAGGGGGAACAAGCAGCTAGGAATTCTGGGAGTCGTTCATTCTAGACCGGGCGGTTTTGCTAGGAGATGGTTTTACAATGCTGGCTTGTGTTTGTTATTATTTTAACTTGGCCTGTGCTGCCTTGGTGCTTCTTTGCAAAGCAGCACATGGGGGGAAAAATAAAAGTTAAGCAACAATATCCTGAAAAAAACAGGCTTGAGTGATTCACACACACAACCACAACACACAAGCCTCCTTGCTTAACCCACTTTAGTGTCTGCCGTTAAAATGTACCAGATGTGTAGCTGCTTCTGAAAATCACCCAGCAGGTTGCATTTTCAAAGAGTCTTAACTTTACCAGGGATTTAGCTATTTCCCTGTTTAGGTCTCAGGGATTTTCTCAATCTTTGGGGAGATTTAAATTGTATTTTTGGACCGTTTGAATTGGCTTTTAAGTTACTGGCCCTTTAGAAGTGATGGACACTTGAGTGGCAAGTGAGTTAATAGAAAAAGCATGTGGCCAAAACACATCTTCGTATTCCTGATTATATTTAGGAATTTCATTATTCCATGATGTCATGCTCTGATTTTGTATTATTTTTCTAGCGTCAGTATAGTTATATCTACTCTATACAGGTGGTCCTTGACTTATGACCACAATAGAGTCCAAAATTGATGTTGGTGAGACGTTGGTTAATTCAGAGGCTGCCTGAATTCCGCATGATTTTGGATGCCTTAAAATAATTTCATTCTTGGTGGACATGCCCCAAAGCGAAAAAAATACTGGAAAATGATTCAAACATGGTTCGAAGAGTTAGCTAAAAATAAAATTGATTTTGTCCCGGAATTATTCCTTCACGGAATAATTAAAAACTACAACAGAAAGACAAAATATCTTATATTTACATATATTAACAGGAGGAAGAATTTCATATGCTCGGTACTAGATGAAAAACTCCATACCACCTGAAGGTTTAATAATAAAAAAAAATGGTGTGTGGAAATGGATAAATTAACTATGGAATTAAAAGAGAAAGCAGCCACAAAATACAATGTGGTATGGGAAACATGGTTTATTTGGATTGATAATAGGTATAAGAATAGAAAATGTAAATAATGTATATAACAGATAAGAGGGTATGAAAGTATTGTGTATTTTAAGTTTTTTTATATATAAACGTATATATAATGTCACAGCACTGTTTAATAACTATTGGTATTATATATAAATGGAGAAAAACTCAAGCATTATAAAAATAATAATTTAATTAAAAAATAGTAGTTAAGATGTAATGAATGTATATGTTCTTAAACTTGTATAATTACAGTAGTAACCTTGTCCCGTTTTTCTACAAATTTCTATCAGCCAGCATTCGTGATTATTTAACCCATTTTGTAACGTTGACTCTACAATTGCCAGCTCAAATCCATGTAAAATACTTGTACTCACCATAATAATAAACTTTTATGCTGCTCAGCTCTGAGCTAAAATTCAGTAATATCAAGGAATTCAAATGATACGGGTACATTATTCAGAAAGGAGGAGTTTAAAATGGATTCCATTTTAATTCCAGATTAAAACAGGCATTTTCATCCAGCACAGTTAAATACTAAACTGGTGACTGTAATAAAAGATATCCACCTCCTAGCCAGTCTTTCCATCAATAATAGGGTGAGGCAGGAAATAAAATTTGTAACTAAGTAATATCAAAGTTACAAGCATGCAATAAATATCTGCTTTTTTAAAAAAACAGTCCAGCTTTATGCAAAAATTAGTAAGAGAACAAGCCAGGTTTTCAGGAAAAAAAAAACCAGCAGAGAGATAAAACAAATATTTTTACACAGGGACTTGTGAGGCCTTGGCAGTTAGGAATACAGACAGTCCTTATCTTACGACCGCAATGGGGAACAGAATTTCCGTTGCTAAGTGAGGTCGGTGGTTAAGGGAGTTGCGCTCAATTTTATGATCTTTTTTTGCCATGGGGGTGGCTTAAGTGAATCACTGCAGTTTTGTTAAGTGAATCATGTCATTAAATGAATCGGGCTCTCCACCCAATTGACTTTGCCTGTCATAATCTGGCTTGGGACGCTGCAACCTTCATAAATACATCCTGGTTGGAAAAAAACTCCCCAATTCTGACCGCCTGACCATCAGGATTGCGCGACAGTCGTAAGTCTGACTGGGGGATTCTGGGAGTTGAAGTCCTCCAGGCTTAAAGTGGCCAAGGTTAGAGACCCCCTGTTTAGATGAGACTTAAAAATGTAAGTTGTGTGTTTGTGTCATTTGCAGTATGTTGTGTTTGTGGGCCCCAGGTTTTTTGCTTCTTTTTTTTAGCACGTCCTGTGAAGCAGTCTTTGCTAGGAAATTTTAGGAATGTGGGAAAAGGGCCCCTTCAGCTCTGCATCAATCATTGACTGGGCCCAAGTTTCTAGTCCTCAAGGATTTGGTTAATGCTATTTTTTTTCCCCCCCCAATCGCAGCCCGACAAATTTTACACCTTTTACAACCACAGAGCTCGGCTGCTCTAAGAGGCTAATTGTTTGTTGTGACGGGGGTGTGTATCTGGTATCTGTGACTGCGAAATCTAAGGAATGTGGAATATTAGCCCTGATAGGAGTGCCATTCAGCTCCGCAAAGTTCATTGGCTGGAAATCAGTTTTCTAGTCCTCAGAGACTTCACAGCTCAGTGGAGACAAAGCCTGCTGAAATTTCAAAACCCAAAGGAGTTACCGGGAGGAATGGGTGTTGCCATGTAAAGTGGGATTAAAACATAAATTAGGATTGAAACTAGCATTGCATGCTGCCATTTAAACTAGGATTAAAATTTAGTTTGGTTTATTGTCATTGTACCTCGTACAATAAAATTAAATGCCATATTCAGTGTATATTATAACTATAAATATAAAACATACCTTCACATTCTCTACAATTGAATTGAAAACCCTATTTAAAACTATTTAAAGTAGAATTAAAATTAAGCAAGGATTAAAATTGAAACTAGGCTTAAAATTAGGAGTGTGTGTGGCCATTTAAACTAGGATTTAAATTGAAACTAAAATTTAAAATTTGAACAAGGGTTTCAGTTTCCAGGATTCCCAGAACCTGGAGAGGAAAAAGGCTACACAGGTCATGACCCTTGGATTACTCTTCCCCATTGCTAAAAAGAAGAAAAAACAGAAGTCAGCTTGCAAAATGATAAAACAAAGAAGGTGGCGACATATTTGACCTGCCTTTAACACCGCTTGATAAAAAGCGAAAAGGCCACCAAGATAGATAGATAGATAGATAGATATAGATAGATAGATAGATAGATACATTATTTATTTTTGATGGACTCCTGTTTCAGAACTTGGGAGACGAAATTGGCTTTAATAACTCCTTTTTGACAGAACCAAACATTTCGACAGAGAAAATCCAGTTCTGGTTATTTAACAAACTCACTTTCTCGGATACTCCATTGGGGTGTAAAATCTAACCAGGATATCCCCGCTCCAGTGCATTTCCAAGTTACAGCCACCTTCTCATTCTTCTGAATCAGTACTTCTCAATCCCAGAGCTTTTAAGATGTCTGAACTTCCACTCCCAGAATCCCCCAGCCAGGATGCTTTAAGACTGGTGGACTTCAACTCCCAGAATCCCCCAGCCAGGATGCTTTAAGACTGGTGGACTTCAACTCCCAGAATCCCCCAGCCAGGATGCTTTAAGACTGGTGGACTTCCACTCCCAGAATCCCCCAGCCAGGATGCTTTAAGATGTCTGGACTTCCACTCCCAGAATTTTCCTTTCCAGCATATACTTTGGGGGGGGGGGGGAAATTCTGGGAATAGAAGTCCACCCATCTTAAAAGTTTGAAAAATCCTAAGAGAAACCACAGGTGATCTAGACCTTGAAATGTCTTCAGAAGTAAATAAATAAAAGCAATCTTCAAAAGTATAATTGGAGCAGCGAATTTCCTCAACTGGGGGAAGGGGAAAAAAAAAACCTCATTTTAAAAAGACATTTAAGAAGTTCTTACGGTTGTGTATTTCCCTTCTGACCCGGCTTGTCAGTCTGTGAAATATTTGGCCGCGAAGTTTCATCTGCAACTTCCTCCTTTTGGGCTCGACGCGGATGCTCAGTCTGCTTCTCTTTTCCAAATTTCCTTCTTCAGCGTCTCGGATAGGATGGCGCTGCATGATCTGCGCAGGTAGTCCTTGACGTACAACCACTATTGAGCCCAAAACGTCTGTCGCTAAGCAAGGCGGTTTGCCTCATTTCTGCCACAGTCATTAAGTGAATCAACCGCAGTGGTCACATGAGCCGTGCGCTCTTTATTTCATTGGCTTCTCTTGTCAGAAGAAGACGGCTGGGAAAGTCGCTTCTCACAATAAACAGACTTCAAACAGTTTGTTTATATTTGGTTGTAAGTTGAACTCTGCCTATAGTGGAGCAGAGCGAATAGATTTTATGCCTAGAAGCCAAAAAAAAACATTTTTTTTCTGCAAACATTCCTGCAACACTTAAATCCACATTAAGAAACCCAACCGTTGCTATCTGTGAAAAAAATAATAATAATGGAGTGAGAGTTTGTCTTGGTAAAAGGCGGCCCATATTCAAGCCAGCTGTTTATAACCATGAGGACTAGCATTCTGATTTATTTATTTTTAATTAGTTGGCACAGGGCCTGTTTCACCTCAAACTTATTGAAATCCAGCTAAGAGATACCCTTCTTTGGAATCATGGAAAGCTTTTGTATTTAACACAAATCGTAGTGGCTCGGGATTTGTAAACCCAGCAGTGCTGGCTTAATTTAACCAATGATGGTTTAAACAAAGTGTGGCAAAACCAAACATGGGAAAAAAAAACCCACTATTTTTCCCCCTTTTTCTTTCAGATCTTCTTCCTTTGCTTTTCCCACCAAGCTGGGGGCTTCATGGTAAGTTGCACATCCCAAGTGTTCTGTTTAAAAAAAAGAAAATCTTTCTCCAAATAATGCCGATTAGAATCGGAATAGAGCTGGAAAGGGCCTTGGAGGTCTTCTAGTCCAGCCCCCTGCTTAAGCAAGAAATCTTATACCATTATCAGCCCAGTCTCTTAAAAACCTCCAGTGATGAAGTAGCTACAATATCTGGAGGCAAGATATTCCACGGGTTAATTGTCCTCACTGTTAGTAAACTTCTCCCTAGTTCTAGGTTGCTTCTCTCCTGGATCAGTTTCCACCCGTTGCTTCTTATCCTGCCTTCAGGGGCTTTGGAGAATTAAGTTGACACCCCCGCTCCTCTTTGTAGCAGCCCCTCAAAGACTGGAATCCTGCTATCTGGTCCTACTTTTCTCGAGACTGGCCAAACCCAAATCCTGCAACCGTTCTTCGCATATTTTAAGTCTCCAGGCCTTTAATAATTTTACTTTAGTATTATATTATATATATTCAATTGTATATAATTCAGTCACAGATTCAACCACTTTTCAGGCGTGGTTTAATCCAACTCTGTCCCAAAAGTGCTTTTTTTTTTTAGGAGGCAACTGGACTTTATTTTTCTTTTGAAGACATTTTGCTTCTCATCCAAGAAGCTTCTTCAGCTCTGACCGGATGATGGAGAATGGATGGATTTAGACTCCTTGCAGGCAGCTGGTCATTTGCATCCTTTTTAGAGGGTCGTCGAGGCCACTCGGAGGTTGATCTGAGTCCTCAGGGTCACCTGTGTGGTTCAAATGGGTGTGGAGCCTCCTTGGAACTGTTGAAAAGACTGTGTTGTACACTGGAGATAGACGAGGTCGTATATCTCTCCCACTTTATTGAGAGAGGGGCCAAGCGGCCACAACGACCGTCTATAAAGGATGCAAATGACCAGCTGCCTGCAAGGAGTCTAAATCCATCCATTCCCCACCATCCAGTCAGAACTGAAGAAGCTTCTTGGATGAGAAGCGAAACATCTTCAAAAGGAAAAAAAGAAGAAGAAGAAAATCCAGTTGCCTCCTCAAAAAAAAATAGCACCTTTGGGACAACCAGGACCTGGAGGACTGAGAATCTCTATAAACCCAAAGCTCCAGAGACGACGAAGTCACCCGATCTTCAACGTGGGAAAAATCTCCCTGCCAGAAAATCTTGGTTTTTGTTTTTGTTTTCACGCCTCTCTCATTCGTGACGTTCGTGGTTGTAGTTCCAGCAACTTTGGGGGATTTCCCTTTGTCAAGATTGCTTTGGAGTGATTTTTCCAGTGGTTCAAATGCTTCCTTTTTTTCTTTGGCTTCCAAACAATGCAAACAAAACAAGATGGAGAGGAGCGGGTGGCTGGCTTCACCCTTGCATGGGGCAGCCGAACCCTCAGCTGGTGATTTAATGGCAGGCTATTCAAAGAAGAGAGAGGCAAAAATTCCAGTGTTGCTCAAAGTGAGGACGGAGGAAATCCCCAGGTTTTCAAGCAGGAGGCGAGGCCTGACCTGCTAAAAAAAAAAAAATTGGGCCATTGTGCATTATCTGGAGAAGGACATTCGCCGCCGAGGCCTCTTACAACTGAATGTGTGGGGTTTTTTAAAAAAAAAACTCTCTCGAGGGGAAATTGGTTGCTTTTATTTAATTTTCTCTCTCTCCTTAATTTCCCCCTCCCCAAACTCCAAATTTTATCTACCTCCTCCTGTACGTGGGGGGGAAGTTGGAGGCGTTGGCTTCAAATCGATCAATCTATAATGCCGCATTCGAAATGCGGTACAAATAGACCTTGATTTACGCCCACAATCGGAACCGGCATTTCTGTTGCTAAGTAAGGCAGTTTGAGGGAGTTGTTAACTTGATTTTACAACATTTTTTGCCCATGGTGGCTATTAAGTGAATCATGCAGTGTGTTGGCCTGGGAAAGGGGTTGCCTTCTACAGTATTAACACTTCATTCTCTTTCTCCTTCCTTCCTTCCTTCCTCCCTCCCTCCCTCCCTCCCTTCCTATATTTCCTTCCTTCCCATTCTTTCTTTGCTTCTTTCTTTTCCTTCTTTCCCTGTTTTCCTTGCTTCTCTTTCTCTTTTCCTATCTTTTCTTTCTCTTTTCCTTGCTTCTTTCTCTTTTCCTATCTTCTTTCTTTCTCTTTCCTATCTTCTTTCTCTTTTCCTTCTTTCTCTTTTTCCTTCTTTCTCTTTCCTATCTTTTCTCTTTTCCTTCTTTCTCTTTTCCTATCTTCTTTCTCTTTTCCTCCTTTCTTTCTCTTTCATAACTTCTTTCTCTTTTCCTATCTCCTTTCTTTCTCTTTCCTATCTTCTTTCTCTTTTCCTTCCTTTTTTCTCTTTTCCTTCTTTCTTTCTCTTTTCCTTGCTTCATACTTCCCCTTTTTCCTTCCTTCCCTCCTCTCTCCCTTTCCCCCTACTTTCTCAATTCTCTTTTCCTTTCCTTTCCTCCTCTGCTCTCTTTCCTTCCTCCTCCTCGTTGGCTTCTTTTCCTGTCCTCCTTCGCCCCCTCCCTCAAGAACCCACCCCCAGCAGCACACCCATGGTGGAAATCATCGAGCAGCCCAAACAGCGTGGGATGCGCTTCCGGTACCAGTGTGAGGGCCGCTTGGCTGGCTCCATCCCGGGAGAACGCAGCACTGACACCACCAAGACGCACCCCACCATCAAGGTCAGCCTTCCCTGCTCCCCTTCCTCGCCTGCCCAGAAAGAAACACACACCCCCCCATCATTTCCCAGAAGCCTTTGCAACCGGGTCGCTTTTAAAATCCGGTCCCCCTCCGAATGCCATCCTGGCCAAAGGAAAACTCGGTGTGATGTCACAGCACGTTTGCCACGAAGACGGGGATGGTGGGGCCTTCCTGGGCAGCCTTTCTGCCATCCAGCTGGGTGGAAAAGTTACACCCGGACGTGCTCACTCTGACGGGCAGCCATTTTGCGAAGGCGCCCCCACGAAACCAAACCGTTCCTTCCCCAAACTGTGATGACCCAAAGGGGCGTGGCACAAAGGCAACCCAGTCCGATAATCAGTAGGAGTCCCTTTATTAGCTCCAACTTTGCCCCCAATATCCTGGTTACCTTCTGGGCTGGAGAAAAACTCTCGCAGGAGCAGCCTTGGGCTGCAGGGAATCCAGTCCAAAACGTGGTCAACAAAAACTGGAACTATAAGTCCAATCAAGGGGAAATGAGGTCATTAGTCTGGCAGGGCAGGAGCAAGAATTCCAGACCTGAAGGAATGGCAAGAACTCAACACGGTTGGGAGGACGCCAGGAACACAGATAAGCAAAGTCAACACAAGATAAACTCAAGTTTGCTCCCAGCAGATGCTGCACTCAGCCTGCATCTCTGTTAAACTCTCATTCCCAGCTGTGGCTAATGAAGGGAATCAGGGCCCTTTCCTCCCCCGTAAGCCACGCAACCCCCGTTGCTCCCTTCTCCGTTCCTCTCTGCGTGCCCTAGGATGAAGAGGAGGGTGGGCCTGGGTCTTCCTCTGAATTCCCTCTCCCTCGTTTTACCTCTCCCCTGCTCTGCCCAGCCGGACTTTGCCCTTCCCCAGTTTCCTTCACAGCCAATGGAGCCACGCTCCCACTCCCTGAGTCAGCTGTTCGTCTTCCTCCTCACATTCAGACTCGGACAGGGGTGTGACAGACAGAGAGGAGCCGTTTGGCTGCCCCGTGTCCCAACTCTTTCCCCCCTTTTGCCCCCCAGATTCACAATTACCAGGGCCCGGGAAAGGTCCGCATCTCCCTGGTAACCAAGGAAGCCCCACATCGGCCTCACCCCCACGACCTGGTGGGCAAGGATTGCAAAGAAGGCTATTACGAAGCCGAGTTGTCTCCGGAGCGCTCCATTCACAGGTGAGTCCGGGAATTGGGAGGTAGAAATCGCAAGGACATCGCTTCTTGGCCTCTTTTCCTCCCCGGGTCAAGGCACTCAACGCCTGCCTTTGTCCCCAGCTTCCAGAACCTGGGAATCCAGTGTGTGCGGAAACGGGATCTGGAAAAGGCCGTGGCGAAGCGGATCGAGACCGGGAACAATCCGTTCAACGGTAAGGAAGGCTGAACCTTGCGTGGTTTGTGTGTGTGTGTGTGTAATTGCCATAAAAATGTGTAAAAATGCTTTGTAGCAATCTTGGGCTCAGAGTAATATTTTTCATAACTTTCTTTTCCAAGAGGAGCTGTCAGGCATCAGTTAAATCCGGCTATTTTTCCTCCCTAACTGCTCTATTAACTAAAGCGGCCGATTTTCGCGTTATACAAGGTGGTCCTCGACTTAATGACCACAACTGGGGACAGGACTTCCAAGGGCTAAGCAAGAGTTAAGTGAGACGCGGCCAGTTCTACCTTAAGTCAGTTTTTTTTCAGGGGATATGTTGTAAGTTTGAACAGTGACTAAATGAACTGTTGTGGAGTCAAGGACTTCCTGTACTTCGCCTGAGCTGTATTTTCTGAGCTGTATTTTATATTTGCCTTTTTTTTTCCCCCCCGGAGGACTCATTGGTACAACACCTATTTAATCCGCCCAATAACCATCCTACTGTCAACTCATAAAATACTTCTCTGGTCTTTTCAGAGTTGCCAACAGAAAAGGAGGGGGGAGCAGTGCGACAGCTTGGAAATCGAAAGTGCATTCCATAAATGTTTTCAGAGATAGTAACTAGGTGACTGAAGTTTCTGCCGGGCAAAGTTCTAACTGGAGAGCTTGATTGATGACTCTGGGCTATGGAGGTGTCCCATTGGAGGATATGAATTACGATACACCCAGGGGGTTGGGAAAAACCAGGGTCAAGGGTGACAATGAATGAAGTGCCTCAGAGTCGGCTACGTCCAGGCAGCGCCGGACATGTTAACTCCCAATAAATCCTTTTGAAGTTTTGGAAGTTTGGCTCGAGACACATGATTTAGATGGGGGTTAAGTGTCGGAATCCTGACATCTCTATCTTGGGCTGGGAGGAGGGAGTAGGAGACAGGTGTTGTCCCTGCAATCTTTCAGTGGGCTCCGTGGGGACTCGACCCTTGAAGTCTCCACCTCCCAATTCAAGAGTCGACAGCTTTAATTCTTTAATGGTCTTCTAAATCCCTTGATGTCTTCCTTTCTTTTTTCCTTTCCTCTTCCTCAGTGCCGATGGAGGAGCTCAAAGGAGATTACGACCTGAATGCAGTTCGACTCTGTTTCCAGGTCTGGATTCGGGATACGGGCACGGGGCACTTGATGCAGCTCCCTCTGGTGGTCTCCCAACCGATCTATGACAATCGTGAGTATTTGGCCAGAACCCTTGGTGTCAAACTTAAGGCCTGGGGCCGAATCCGGCCCATGGGGTGCTTCGATCTGGCCCGCAGCTCCGCCAGCGAAGGACTGGCCCGTAGTGCGGAAAAAGAACTCAGCGGGGCCCTGTTTTCGCTGGCAGAGGGCTAGCAAAACAAGCTCAAAACAAAACAAAAAGGAGAAATATTTCCCCTTTTGCATTTGAGCCTGCAAGAAAGGACAGGAAAGGAGAAAGGGAAAGAGGAAAGGGAAAGAAAAAGAAGGGAAGGTGGGAAGAGAGGAAGGAAGGAAAGGATGGATGGATGGATGGAAGGAAGGAAGGAAGGAAGGAAGGAAGGAAGGAAGGAAGGATGGAAGGAAGAAAAGGAAGGATGGAAGGAAGGAAGGAAAGGAAGGATGGATGGAAGGAAGGATGGATGGAAGGAAGGAAAGGAAAGGAAGGATGGATGGAAGGAAGGAAGGAAAGGAAGGATGGATGGAAGGAAGGAAAGGAAGGAAGGATGGAAGGACGGAAAGGATGGATGGATGGATGGATGGAAGGAAGGATGGATGGATGGAAGGAAGGAAAGAAAAGGATGGATGGATGGAAGGAAGGAAAGGATGGATGGAAGGAAGGAAGGAAAGGATGGATGGATGGAAGGAAGGAAGGAAGGGAAGGAAGGAAGGGTTATAATGAGAGTGAGGGGGGGTCTCAGGGAAGTCCTACTTTAGCACTTGGCCACCACAGGTGCCCCCCGACATGAATGATGTCAAGCTGGTCACGCCCATCCTGGCCACGCCATGCCACACCTGCCCTCCCCCAAAATCAAACACAATCCTGATGCATCCCTCAATAAAATCAAGTTTGACACCCCGGTTTAGAGAAATAGATTAAGTTACAGATCCTCTAGCGAGTCATAAGTGGGAGGACCAGGCATAACTCCCTTTTCAGTGTTGTTGTCACTTCGAACAGTTGCAAAACAGAATGGTCATAAGTCAAGAATTGACCTGTCCTGAGTTTTTTGTTTTTGTTTTCCCCTTAATTTTTCTGTAGGTGCACCCAATACAGCTGAGCTGAAAATTTGCCGTGTCAACCGCAATTCGGGGACTTGCCTTGGGGGAGATGAAGTCTTCCTTCTCTGTGACAAAGTCCAGAAAGGTGGGGCTTTTTCCCAACACCCCTGGGAAATGTTTAAAAGTCTTCCAGATCCTATGGAGATTTTCCAAAAGCAACTGGACTTTGTTTTTCCTTGAAGACATTTTGCTTCTCATCCCAGAAGCTTCTTCAGTTCTGACGGAGTAGTGATGAAAGGATTTATATTCCTTGCCGTCATCTCATCGTTAGTACTCTTAGCGTTATGGAGGCCACTTGGATGGTTTTATCTGCGCCCTTAAGAGTCACAGTATATACCAGTGATGGCAAACTTTTCTGCTGGCACCCACAATGCAATGCGCCACCCCGGCGCATGTGCATGCAACACCCCCAGCCCGCTCCTTTACCTGCACTGCGCACGCGTGTGGCCTCCCAGCTGGTTTTCGGCCCGTTTGAGGCCATTTCCGCCCTCCTGGAGGTTCGAAGGAAGCCTCTGCAGTCTCGGGAGGCCGAAAAACAGGCCCGTTTCGTCACTTCTGGTATTTCCAGAAGGCCCGTTTTTCGCCTTCCGGAGGCCGCAGAGGTTTCTCTCGAGCCTCTGGGAGGGCGAAAACGTCCTCAAACGGGCCGAAAATCATCTGGGAGGTGCGTGCATGCGCAGTGCAGGTAGTTTGCCTGGGGCTCGCGTGCCTGCCAAAATGGCTCTGCGTGGCACCTGTGGCACGTGTGCCATAGGTTCGCCATTGTAAGTGTATACTATTGGAACAGTGACGTCTACGCTGGCTTGGGCATGCCGTGAGGATGGCCGATGGGCAGATTCCGAAGGATGGATGAAGAATGGAGAATTAGCGCAGGGAAAGCGCCCTAGAGGGAGACCACAGCTGCGATATAAGGATACCTGCACGAGGGATCTAAAGGCCTTGGGAATGGACACCAACAGCTGGGGAACCTTGACCTCTGATCGTTCGGCTTGGAGGCTGAAGACGCAGAATGGCCTTCTCCAATTCGAAGAAGAGACACTCGTTGGGCAGGTTGAGGCAAAGAGGCAGCCCCGGAACCAGAAAAATCTGTGGGGGCTGGACAGGGGACAGACTGTGTCTGTCCTCAGTGTGGAAGGGATTGCTCCTCTCAAATTGGTCTTTTTAGCCACACTAGGTGCTCTTTTAGGACCTCTTTTCAGAGCACGATGCCATCGTCTCTTGAGACTGAAGGATGCCAATCAACTATCGAGTCACTTGAATAGCGCAAACGGGTGTGGAGCGTTCTTGGAACGGCTGTGAAAAGACTGTTGTAAAACACTAAAACTCCTTTCAACAATTCCAAGAAGGTTCCACACGCATTTGCACTATTTGGGTGACCCTGAGGGCACAGACAAACCATCAAAAGTGGCCTCAACGACTCTCGGAGAGAGTACTAACGACCAGATGACTGCAAGGAATATAAATCCTTCCGTCCTCCACCGTTCAGTCAGAACTGAAGAAGCGTCTTGGGTGAGAAGCGAAATGTCTTCAAGGAAAAACAAAAGAAAGTCCAGTTGCCTTTGGGGAAAAAAAGCACCTTTGGGACTTCCAGAAGGTCGTTTTATTTATTTATTGTGCATTTTCTTTTTCCTGCGTGTTCCCGAGCACCCAGAAAACTGTTTTGTCAGTTCAGGGAGAGGAATGTCCTCTCTTGATGGTGTCATGCCCCTGTCGGAATCCGACTCGGAGGAGGAAGCCAAATAGCTGACGGGGTGGGAGTATCCCTTGGCTGTGGAAGAAACTGGGGAAGGGCAAAGTCCGGCTGGGCAGAGTAGGGGAGAGGGAGAACAAGGGAGGGGGAATTCAGAGGAAGACCCAGGCCCACTCCCCTCTTCATCCTAAGGCACGCAGGGAGGAACGGAGAAGAGAGCAACAAGGGTTGCATGGCTTACGGGGGAGGAAAGGGCCCTGATTCCCTACATTAGGAGCAGCTGGGAAGACAGTTTATAAAAAAAGGCAAGCTGTGTCCGGCAGACTGTTGGGAGCAAACGTGACTTTATCTTGTATCATTGTGGCTTACTGTGTTCCTGACATCTTCCCAATTGTGTGAGTTTTGCCGTGTTTTCAAGTCTGAAATTCCTGCTCCTGCCCTGCCAAACTAGTTACTTCAGTTTGGTTTGTTTGGATTTTAAGTTACAGCTTGTGTGTACCTTGTTTTGGACTGAATTTTCTACAGTCAGGCTGTTCCTGGGAGGGTTTTTCTCCAGTCCGACGGTAACCTGGACATTGGGGGGAAAAGTTGGAGATAATGAAGGGGCTCTTCTTGATTATCTGACTGTGTTACCTTTTGCCATGCCTCGGATCATCACAGGTGGCTTCTCCACCTCTCTGCTTCTGTTCCAGAGGACATCGAAGTCCGCTTTTTCAAGGATTCCTGGGAAGCAAAGGGGTCCTTCTCGCAGGCCGACGTCCACCGCCAGGTGGCCATCGTCTTCAAGACGCCGCCCTATGCGGATCAGACCATCCGTGAACCCGTGACGGTCCAGATGCAACTGCACCGCCCCTCCGACAAGGAAGTCAGTGGCTCCATGGAGTTCCGTTACCTCCCGGATGAAGGTATCCGTTGGTTAAAATGTTTAGTTGTTGCCCTGGAGATCAGGGGAAAATCTCTCTTTTTAGTCCAGGGGTAGGCAACTCACGGCTCTGGAGCCGCATGTGGCTCTTTCATCCCTTTGCTGCGGTTCCTTGTTGCCGGTCGACGCCACAATTGATGGGTCGTTCGGTTAGGATAGGTGGCGGAAACTCTATGCTGGGCGAGGAAACTCTATGGTGGGAGAACGGGACTTCTGGTCAGCTCCAGAATTTAGTTTGGGGGGGGGGGGGGGGTTTGCCGGCCCCTGTCAGTTGCCAGCAGTGGGGGAAAAATATTACAGCTACATCGCAGGAGAAATGCATAAATTGGGCACAATCTATTCAGGGCTATATCTTGGCATGTTCTTGTCTTATTGGCGAGAATATATAATTGCTGATCCTTTGAGTGCCTGCCAAATGCAGGATAATTAAGCGAAATCTTTTCTATCCATTAAAAAATAAGTTTGGTCTAGTAATTATGGCTAGAAACCAGAGTCTGTGAATTCTAGTTCCGTCTTAGTCATGAAAATCAGTTCTGTCCCTTTGGGCGAGTCACCAGGAGACTGTGAGTTCTAGTCCCTCTTTACCCACGAAAGCCAGCTTGATAACTTGAGACCAATCACCCAGCGATGGAGAGTTCTAGTCCTGGCTTAGGTCTGAAAGCCAGCTGAGTTATTTAGGGCCAATCACCAGGGGATGGAGAGTTCTGGTCCTGTCATAGCCATGAAAACTGGAAGGTGTTACTTTGGGCCAGTCACCAGGAGGTTGTGAGTTCTAATCCCTCTTTACCCATGAAAGCCCGCTTGGTAACTTGAGACCAATCACCAGGAGACGGTGAATTCTAGTTCTGCCTTAGATCTGAAAGCTAGCTGAGTGATTTGCGGCCAATCACCAGGGGATGGTGAGTTCTAGTCCCATCTTTGACATGAAAGCCAGCTGGGTGACCTTAGGCCAGTCTGTCTGAGTCCAACCCGCCTCACAGGATTTTTGTGGGAAGAAAAGGAGAAGGAAGGAAGGAATATTAGAGAATTTAAGTCAGTTATAAAACTAATAAAGGCATAATTTTTTAAAAAAATATTATCTATCCTATTTAAATTGATGTTTTCCCTGCCCTTCCTCTCTTTTCTTTGGCAGGCGATTTCCATCGAATCGAAGAGAAGCGCAAACGGACGCTGGGCACTTTCAAGAACTTTGTACAGAAAACACCTTTTGCAGGTAAAAAGGTGGAAAAGTTTAAAGAAACCCCACGCGAGAGAGAAAAGGGGGTCAGCCCCATTTGAAAGAGCTAACCTGGGAAGTGGGGAAGAGTCCCTTTGATTTAGCTGGGGCTGGGGAAAGTGAGCCGCGCATCCTTCAGGGGGCTTGGACTACAATGCCCATCAACTCAGGCCTGGTCTACTATGTCAGGCAAACAAACTCACATTAAAAAGGATGGGACTTTGAGGAGATGCAATGAGGAATAATGTGGTCAAAAGGCTTAAAATGGAGATTTGGAACAGGGGTGTCCAATCTTTGCAACTGTTAAGACTCGTGGACTTCAGCTCCCAGAATTCCCCAGCCAGCTGAGTGATTTAGGGCCAGGGGATGCTGGGGAATTCTGGGAACTGAAGTCCACGAGTCTTTGCCAGAGCTGGACGGAAACAGAGCTAAAAGAAACAGAAAAAGGGAAGCTGTGAGGAATTCTAGATATTTGCCCTTTCAGCCCAAAACAAGAAGACTTCCAAGGTCCCTTCCAACTACGGTATATTATTATTATTGTATGTTATGTTATATTATTTCTATTCAAAATAACCTTGGTTTTTTTTAAAAAAAACAAACCTCAATTTTTCTTCAAAACAACCAGAATTTCTCTTTGAAGCAGCAGGTGTTTTGTTTTGTTTTGTTTTTTAAAGGTGGGCATTTCCAAAGCTGACATTCACGGTTTACCTCTTGTGTTTTCCTTCCTCAACAGTAGGAAGCGCAGAAGCACAATCTCCACGCCGTATTGCTGTTCCGAAACACGGAGCACCCCGGCCAAATACCAGCGGTAAGCTCCTCCTCCTCCTCCTCCCCTCCAAATATTTTTTCTTCCTTTGCTTAGGTTTCTATTTCTTGCTTAGCTTTCTTTTCTATGCGCAGCTGCAAACCTTTATCAAACTATGCCAAGGTCAATGGACAGAAGCCTCAGCACCACCTGAAGATGTTATGATGATGATATTAACAACTTTTAATTGGAAGAACCATTTGAACTATTGGGGGTGGGAACGTTGCCATCACTTTGTATATGTGATTTACGCGCTTATTTCCTCAGATTCAGAATCCTTTTGTTGCTACCACTTGACTTCCAGTAAAAGAGATCTTTTCTCTGATTAAAAAAGTCTAAGTATTTCTTTCTTGGATTTTGAATGGAGCACCAGCTGACAAAGGCTTTGTAAACCTGCATTTTGGTTGAAGTAATAATGCAACCGTACAAGACAATGTTTGTAGCTCGGGTTGAACTGTGAGGTCCTTGGTGCTCTCTGAGCTTGGTTGATTTTCTGGCAGACGTTTCATGACCCAACTAGGGAACAAGATTATTTTCAAGATGAGTGCAGGAAGGGGCAAACCCCACTCCCTTTTAGCAGGGAGAACAATTAACCAGTGGAATGGCTTCCCTTCGGAGGTTGTGGGCGCTCCCATCGCTGGAGGCTTTTAAGAAGAGTTTGGACAGCCACTTGTCTGAAATGGGATAGGGTCTCCTGCCTGAGCAGGGGTTGGACTAGAAGATCTCTAAGTTCCCTTCCAACTCTGGTATTCTGTATTCTTCTCCTTCTTCTTCTCCTTCCTTCTTCCCCTCCTCCTCCTCCTCCTCCTTCCCCTCCTCCTCCTCCTTCCTCTTCTTCTTCCCCTTCTTCCTCTTCCCCTCCTTCCTTCC